AAAAACAAGACCTGTCAAAGGGCAGACAAGCTCCCTGTGAGTCAGTGGCCATCCATATCTGGAGAGGCGGTAGGTGCCACCAGGTCACTCTGCCCAAAGAATCACCAATGATGCAAAGCAACTCAACTGACCAGAGGGTTGTTACAGCATGTAAGTTGCCCCAATGATTGCAGCGGCCTTGGGACTGACTTGACTTGACACTATGACATATTATTTGCTTTGTTGTCCCATGGCAATTTGGGACAAGTGACAGACCTGTATGTGACATTCAATGGCTATGTTATTTCTGATGGCAGGAGCTGATTCCACGTTTCAGCTTGTGAGCCCTTCAGAGCCCTGCTGCAACCAAGTGGCTTGGTAACTATGCCCAAGTGACTAGAATATAAGCGCCATATTGCTGTAATCAGGCTGTGCTCCCTTTCATTGTCTGTTAGCAGAGCTAACAGCTTCTGTATCAGCAAGGATGGAGGCGTTTGCCTCCCTGAGGGGTAAGCAATTTCTCCGGACAAGCTCAAGAATAAACGCCCGGGCGCATGTCATCACCAAAGTTTAGTGGAGAGCACCCCCAGTGTACAGAGCCACCCACCAGCAGCTCCCCAGCCTTGTACCTACATGCTCCTTGTGGGGCAAGAATGACAGTCTGCATTCATCTGACAGCTTCAGATAATCACAGGAGTGAGGCACCAGGATAATGACAGCTGAATAGCACAGCTACTGTTGCTATGGTTACCTGCCAAACTTTGCCCCCGGGCTTTCTCTGCTGTGTGGTGGTGGTAGCGAGGTGGGTCCCAGGGCGGGAAGGGGAGAATTCAGGGGGGCCCGGAGCCAAGAGGTGCAACAGCCCATTATACTCTCTTTAAATCTCCCAGCTGGAAGTGTTTTAAATCTGAGCAGATACACAGAGGAACATTGTTTTAATCCCCAGCTCCCCGTGAATTATTTAAAGGGATCTTGTTAAAACAATGAATTTGCCACTGTTAGCATGTCAACAAGGGCAGCTGCTGTTACTGCGGCTCAGGGATTCCCCTCCGGCAGGGGTGGTGCTACTCCATGCCTAGTGGCAGGCTGGGAGGGGGTGGTGTGGTTGGCTTCGTCAGTATCCAGGCTTGGAAACACGGTATATCTCAATTTCAGTGTCTCTGTTGCAGGGCCCAGCTCTCACCTCCTTCCCTGACTCACAGCCCAGTGTGGCAGCATGAACAGGGAAGTGCGTTCAGCAGCACGGGAGGAGCACACCCCTCGTACACCTGGCTGCTTAGCAGGGACCCTGTTTGTTCGAGTTCGCCCTCCCACCTGCAGCCTCACCTCCTACCCACTGTTTTCCCCTCCTCACACACACTGCTTGCTCAGGCTATGTCTATCCCACCTCCATGTTGCACCCTGATGTGAAGTGTGCCCTGCCCACTCACTCCCACGCTGCGCACGCCAGCTCTCAACAATGATGGAAGGGGCACTCAGCATGTGCCCAGGTCTGAGGCTGTCTCACGGATGCCTAATGGCACATGGTCAGGGCCACTATTAAGCCTGGCCTCCTTTCTGGGAGTTTCATAGTTGCTAGGGGCAGGAAGGGACCTTACAGCTCATCGGGTTCAGCCCCCCTGCACTTGGGCAGGAAAGACTACTGGGGTCAGATGAGTCGGTGCATGTAGACTGAAAGTGGGCAGGGCATGCTGTCCAGTGGCCCATCACGGTGGAGGCTGATGTGTGTGATTTGTATTTTAGAGGGGTTGGGGTTTCCAGAGACAGATACGTGTATCTTAGTTGCTAATGTACAACACCCCCCTGTTCTAGTCACCTCTAGCAGGTGCTTATGGACTCCTACTCCTCCAGTGCTGCTGGGTGGTCTTTGCTTGACAATCTGGCCTTCTCTGTCTTCGCTGCCAGAGCCAGTTTTGCAGTCAAGGTCTTTCATAAAGAGGCAAGCCCAAATCTGAATTCTGAGGCTCCATTCAAGGCTCTCGCCTCAGTGAAATGGGGGCACCATGGGAAGGCAGTAGAATCGGAGTTAGAGATGGAGCTCGTTTCCCCAATGTACATCATGAATAAAAGAATATAAGCCTGGGCAGTGATGTTGGCGTGTGTGAGAGCAACTACAGATTGAAAGAAGAGGCCATTTCCTTTAGAGTTTGGCAAAACACCAACCCCAGAGCTGATAGTTCACAACCAGGCAACTACTAAAAGCTAGGTAGCCCATTATCTGAAATTAATTGGATTCTGGCTCACAATGCAAAGCCCAAAATGATGTGGTAAACAATTCTGATTCAGTAATCCAGAATGAACTCAGCTACCTTTCTCATGTAAATTAAGTGCTCTGTTATGAAAGGATACTAGGTCCAGTCAAAATATTTTTCAAGGCAGAGAAGTAATATCTTTGTACTGCTTTCATGGCATGCCCAGGAATAGGATAACAAGTGAGAGGACACATTATTGGATGGAATTGTTTGCCACCATCTACCGCTTACTCAGTTAGCATCCATTAGTAAGAATGCAGCTATACCACCCTGAGCTGGGATCTTTTCAGCTCTCACTAACTTAAGCAGAGTTAGACCTGAGATAAAATTTACTGAAGCACTTAGTTGTTGATGAAAGAAGATCCTGTAAGAATTAACTGGTACTCCGGTCCCTACACCAGTACTGCAGCTTGCTAGTGCAAATACTAAAGAAAAATATTGATTTAACAGGAGAGCAGAAGCTAAGAAAATGTGTAATATTGTGATGCTACAGGGATGCTATATACTGTACTATAAACTCTTCCTTTCCCCATTAATATTGTTACATCAGTGCACATATAGGGTACTCCAGCATTTTGTAATACACCCTTGTATATGTGTACGTGCACCCCCCCTCCATTTGTATAGCACGTAAACACTGCCACGTCCACGGTAGCACGTAAACACTGCCATATGAGTAATGCTGTTACAAATGAGAAGACTGTAAACATGGATTAGTGAAGATGAATGGATTATGAGGTTATCAATCTGTCTGTAGGACTAATATCATCGTAGACAATTCACCGTTTGCTGCTGCCCCTTAATTGAAATCGCCGTCGGGATTATCCTGATGTCCTTTTATGAATCTGATTGCAAATGTGCGCTCAGTCTTTCAGTTTTGGTGGTGCCTTGCTTTATTTACTTATTGCTCATAAAAGCGAGACTGACAGCACTACATATAGCAACGGGGCCTCTCATTTTTTCAGAGCCAGATGGTGACCGCAGCTTAATAGAGAAGTATGCTCATGCACCACTCTCCCTTCCACTCACAAGTGAATGGCCTATCTCTCCTACCATTTAAACATAAGCATCTGTGGAGATGCTACAACAATTGCCTGCATGGATTAGGCATATTGCTATATTTTCATACAATTTAGCACCTGGAAACAAGGAAGAAAGTAGCTCCGGGCAACTATCCAGCTCTCTGCAGATCACCAGCAAGTGGTCCTCCTTAGTTTGAGAACCTATGGCTTCGAGCTGTTCATAGTGTGAACAGAATTTTTGCCTGGTTTCTTGACATAGGTCCGCCATCCATGGTTATGGTAACTCATTGCCTTTGACATTGTGAAAAAGTTTAAAGCTTTGACGTGAGGCAGCCTGATCGCCTCTTCAAGTGCTAGCAGCATCAATGAGGCAAGGAAATGAATAGGATGTTGCCGCCGAGAGCCGCAGTGAGGGGTTCGGGCTTTAGGAGCCCTAGTCGGCGGGCGGGTACTTGTGACACTTGGAGTGGAATCAGGTACTCAAGCGTATTGATTTAACAAATAGATTGCTTTACTTACACTGCTCGTACAGTGCAGGTCAGAAGCTTGCTTCGGTTACAGTTGCAAACAGGTACAGGAGTCGGGCAGAAATTACAAAGTTGTTGGTCGGTCTGCAGATGTGTTCGGGGTGTTCAGGCTGGCAGTCGTCTTACGTCTCGGTGGGGGTGTGCTAGGCCCCCTTGGGTGGGTGACGGGGAGAGATTAGAGGTTGATCAGGCCCCTAAGTTCTTCTCTAAGACACACGTGGAGTTTGCTAGGCTCCACAGTGTGCTCAGAGTTCTCCACGAGGTGTGTGTGGAGCTCTCCAACTTGGGTGGAAACTGCTCAAGCCTCTTATACGGCTAGCAAGCCAATCACTAGCCGCCACGTAGGAATAATTTAGAACTGTCCAATAGTGGGGTACAAATTTGCATAAGATTGGTGGGAACTGCTTGCAACGTGCATTTCCTTTCTGCAGCTCAGAAGTGCACCCTGCAAAAAGGCTACGAATTGGCGGGAACTCTTTTGCACCCGGGGTTCTCCTCTGCAGCAGAAAACTCCACCATGCAAAAAAGCTACAATTTGGTGGGAACTTTTCTAGGTCATTAATATATAGTCACTGGGCTCTGGAGTTTTCCCCTCGTGACCTACTTACAAAATGATTGACAGACTGCCTTCTGTATCAAACTATGGAATCTTCCACTGCACTATAGGCATATGAACAATGGGTTCTGACATAGGATGCAGTGTAGCCTGAGTTAGGACTGAGGAGACCTGCAATCTTTTCTATCTCTGCCATAACCAGTGGGGGTGACCATGGGTAAGTCACACTTTGCCTCTATCTGCCTCAGTTTCCCCAACAGTAACATGGGGATGATACTGTTGATCTCCTTTGAGCTTGGAGGTCTGTGCTGCCCTTCATTATGAAGTTGAAAAGAATTCCTGTTCCCACACGTGTGTGTGTGTGTGTGTGTGTGTGTGTGTACGCCTGTGCATGTGCACATGTATTGCAGGAGCTTTCTTTTTGCTTTTAGAGTCAGGGTTTTGTTTTCTGCTTGCTTCCATAAATCATGAATCTAAAATATGGTTTTCTCTTGTGTTTCCAGAGGTGAAAGCCAAATGCGCTAATCCTCTGAGCCACTGACTCTCCCTCCCTCCATCCCCACCCTGAATTGGGAGTGATTAAAAGGCGAGTAGGTTAAACTTCCACTATTGTGCCTGTTCCACTGCATCCTTTTCATTGTCCATTTCTGTGAATTCCACACAGTGGGAAGAGGTCAGCGGTTACGACGAGAACCTGAACACCATCCGCACTTACCAAGTGTGCAACGTCTTTGAGCCAAACCAGAACAACTGGCTCCTCACAACATTCATAAACCGACGGGGTGCACACCGCATTTACAGTGAAATGCGCTTCACCGTGCGGGACTGCAGCAGCCTCCCCAACGTTCCTGGGTCCTGCAAAGAAACCTTTAACCTGTACTACTATGAGACAGACTCTGTCATTGCCACCAAGAAGTCAGCCTTCTGGACAGAGGCACCCTACCTCAAAGTGGACACCATTGCGGCTGACGAGAGCTTCTCCCAGGTGGATTTCGGTGGCAGGTTGATGAAGGTAAACACAGAAGTGAGAAGCTTTGGACCTCTCACCCGCAATGGCTTTTACCTCGCCTTCCAGGACTATGGGGCTTGTATGTCATTGTTGTCAGTCAGGGTCTTCTTCAAGAAATGTCCTAGCGTGGTGCAGAACTTTGCCATCTTCCCAGAGACTATGACTGGGGCAGAGAGCACCTCGCTTGTGATTGCACGTGGCACGTGTATCCCCAATGCTGAGGAGGTGGATGTGCCCATTAAACTGTACTGCAATGGTGATGGGGAATGGATGGTTCCCATTGGGCGCTGTACTTGCAAAGCTGGATACGAGCCTGAGAACAATGTGGCCTGCAAAGGTAAGTCAGTGCTTGGTTTGGACATCGTTTTATGATCTCTAGCTTTGCTAACAAAGGGGGGCATCCTAGAATTGCTACAGACTGAGCAGTGCCACTGCCATTCAGGGATTGGCATTTATCTAGCTGCCACAGAAAGGGAAATCCCTCTTTCAGGGATTACTGAGAGATGTGAAAATTGGGCAATAGATACCTTTGCCTACCTTTAGTTGCACCTGCATCAGGGACTACAGATTGTGAAGAGCTGTGCACAGGATCCTCCCTCCTGCTTCATCCTATAGAAAACAGCCTACACATATGTGGCCTGTTTCCTTCCCAACAATCTGGGTGTGAGGCGCATAAATAACTTCAATGCTTTTCAGAAAAGCAAGTGCCTGCTCCATCCGTACATGGGCAGGGAGTACCCTGTCACACCACCTGGAGCAGAACAGGGGGAAGAAATAGTAGTCCTAATGGAAAGCATACAATAGGCACCAGTCTTCATTGCCCTTTGCAGAGTGAGCAGTAGGAAATGCATGGACTTTCAGCTAATTTGACTGATTTAATGTTGTGTCCATGCCCTGGTGTCAGAAAGTCTTTCTTGGTAGATCTAGATATATATGCACAGTCCTTACCAGGAACATGGCAGCAGAAAAAGGAGTGTAAGGACAACCACTACATGTGACCTGTGTATTTTCCCCCTTCCTCAGCAAAGTAGGGTCCAATTTATTTCACCTGTGTCTCGCCTAAGGTGTTAAATATAAATGCTCTTGAACTCCTTTTGCATACTTTAGACTCCCAGTGAATGTTAAGCTGCCTTTCCCTTCCTCTAGGGGTGTGGAGAGTATGTATTAATGTTAAATTGCAGTCAGCAGAGGTCTGCTTCTACTGGTGGAAGGCTGCCCTCTGTACTCATTGTTCCATAGCCACAGAAGGGTCTTTTTTTCCAAAATGGACATAAACCTGAGAGCAAGACATTTAGTGAGGGAAACCTCGGCTTCTGGTATAACGTCAGTGAATGCATCTTGTGTTTTTAGTTTCCACCCTCCCCCCGCTTTAAAATCTGCTTTAACTCATTATTTTTAGTCTGTTTTTAAGAACTTTGTAGACGCTCAAAACAAGAGCTTCCAGGATTAATTGCTTTCCACCTGGCAAACTGATTTCCTCCCTGGAGGCTACCGGGACATGAACCAAATCCCTGTGAGTCCATGGAAAGAATCGTGTCAGCTTCAATGCAGCTCTAATTTATGCAGCTCCCTTTTGGTTTGACTCCCTTGTTTGTCCAGCAACATCAGGGATATCAGTACAGCCACGAGGATGGATATTTTCATCAAAATCCTGTTGCAGATCCAGGGGGATTGGTGCATTTTATTTGTCAAGACTTAGCAGCCAGCACTTGCTTTTCTTAAACTTCTTCAATGCAGTGACAGTGGTGGATTCAGGGATAAGAAACCATTTAGAGGAAGACAATGGAGACAGGTTGTACTTGAGGCTTGAACTTCTTGACATTGTCCTTTAAACCGCTGCGTTGTGGTGTTTTAAAACACAGTGCGCACGTGGCCTGTGATTGTTTATTATTGCCCAGGCCACGGCCGGGCGGAAGGAAATCCAGCAGCAGATCATTCCTGCGAAGGAGCCTGTGCAACAGCTGCCATACAAATACAAACCTCTCAGAAGCAATGTTTGTGATTTCTTGGCTTCAAAGGGCTGCAGAGGCCTGCGTTAGCCGGCTGAGCCCCTTTCATCTTTCTCATTATTTCCCGAGCGAAGCTGCAGGAACCAGAACAAGCCTTGATTGGTTCTGATTTAAATGAAACTCTGGGAACAGCACTCTGATTCTTTCCATTAATTGGAACTTTTCTCTCTTTTTGGGTTCTACCATCCATGCTGTCAGTTTGATACCGCCTGCTGGAAGCCTCCGAGGGGTTAGATTTATAAATATGGAAATCACGCTTCCTTCTTTTCATCTCCTTTTTCTGAGTTTTTTATTAATATTTTCCAAAGTTTACTCTGGTTTTTTTTTTCCCCCTCTGTAGCTTTGCTCACCCTCTCTTCCCCCAAATTACACGGTACTTTAAAGCAGCTCATTTAATATTGCTGACGGCCGAGGGACAGAATTTTCAAGTACTGGGCATTGGGGAATGTGTTGGTATCACTGCAGAAGAGCTTTGAAATCCAAATGTTTAAATTAAAATCTATTTGCTTAATGCTCTAGTCAGTCCCAGCTGCCTAGAAGCTGAAGTCAAGCTCCTTGTGCTTAGGCAAAGAGTATGCAGCTAGCACACCTTGACATTTTCATGCTCTCCAGGTCCTGCCTGGGGATGGTGTTTCCTGAGCTACATGGGACTGTGGTTGCCTTTAATGAAGATGCTTAGGGCTGTATTAGGTAGAGGTTGTCAACTCTCATGATTTCATCAGCAGAAATGTATTTCTAGCCCCTGCTGGAAGCAGCAATGCTAAAAACTCCTGCACTTGCATGATTTTTGGACTTGCCAGGGGGAAAAAAAACCCTTCTCTGGCTGGTTGCAAAACCCTCTCTAACTAGCTGCATTCCTCCTTTCCCTGCCTCTTGGAGACATGCAATACGAGCTGTAGAGATGTCCCCCAGGACTGAGGAGTTCTTGGATTTGAAAGTGGGAGAGGGAACAGCTGATGCTATTTTCATGAGAGGAGATGTGGCAGAAGAAAAAGACAGAGTCAGTAGCCCTTCTTCCTTTCCCCTTTCCTCCCAGGAACAATATTTTAAGGGGGTAGATGTGTGGCTGGGAGGCAAGGTTGAGAGGGTGGGGGAATGCATAAATAACTGCTAGATTGTGTATAGAAAAGCTGACAGTGCTGATGGTTGGACATGCTGGGGGAGGCGCACAACAAGCAAAGGGGTAGGCCCCCAAAGTAGTAAAAGTTATCTCATGATTTGGGGGGCCAAGCTTATTACTTTGAGGAGCCTTACCCATGATTTTTGAACTCTTGGGGCTGGCAGTACTGACTCTGCAATCATGTGTTTTATTTGCAGTGTTGATCAAACCCTGCAGCCTGTATAACATTTTCAACAAAGGTTCTGGGTAAGCAACAGGGACAAAGCTGGGACTCAAGCTGTGAAGAAATGTGTTTGCCTGTGTCTGTAGGTGTAGCTCTTTTCTTTAATAAACACCTCTGATTTAAACTGGGCTGTGATTCGATATATCATAACAAGGCTCACAAACTATAACCAGGCTTGATTCTCTCGGCTAGTTTTTCACCCAGGCGGAACTGCAGTTTTTCACTATGAAAAACTACCTCCCTGTCTAGCAAAGGGGGAGGCAATCATCTGATACACTCCAAGACCATTATTTTGCTAAAAATCTAAAAACAAATATGATTCTTCATGTTTGTCTGCAGCTTCATGATTTCCAGGTTACAAGAGGTTTGGGGAGAGTGTGCAAAAGGTACAGCCTTTGTGAAGGGGAAGAATGAGGAGCTGAGTGTTTCCAAAGGACATGGATGCTGTGAGTTTGCATTCATAGGTCTATAGCCCTACATCTCACCATGTAGTATCTCCGTGACACTTAAAACACTCATCAGAGAAAAAAGGAATTGCTCTGAGTAAAGGAAAATATTGAGCCCATAGTATAAGTTTCTTCATCGCCCTCAGAAGCAGAGGTATACAAAACCTATTGCATATACTCTACATGCCGCAGTTTTTATCCAGGACACTTTTCCCCCCCCCCCCCCATCATTGATAGAATATTTTGCTTTGTTCAACGAGAACAATTAAGCTAGGCTTTCTGGAGAACATCGCTTGTGAAATTTTGTCCTGCATAGAAAATAGAGGTATAACAATTTTCAGCACCCAGGGCTGTGTTGGCCCAGGTAGTTGCAGCAGCAACCTCCATTCTTGTGCCTCCACAAAAATAGTGACTGGGCTGGTGCCTTGGTCATCCTTCTCTAGTTATGCTGCTGATTACAAAATGCCATTTCAACATAAAAAGAAACATTTGTTGTTGCTGGTGCTGTTTTGTAGTACCTGGCAAGTTTCTATCTTTTAAAAGAACCTGCAACTTTGGGCAAAAACTTGAATAAAACACTGAAACTAATAATTTGATTTTTCCACAAGTATGCAAAAGAATTTTTAAAATAGTTCATTGATTCGTTAGCTTCTAGAGACATGGGGAATGCATCATGTCTTTGCATCCTGTAACAAAGAAGGCTGTATTTGTTAAGTGCACGGTGGGGTCTCTGCAAACTTTGTTTTATGCTTTGCTTGTCTGCTTTTTGGACAAAATGTCTCTTTTCTTTTGGAATACACTGAATTGACATGGCCAAAAGCTTTCTGTATTCATGTCCAGGCTGGAATTTCTGGTTAAAGATAAAGGGAGAAGGGATAAAGGGTGAGGGAGAAGCAAAGTATTGGAGTATTTTACCTGGAAGAAGGGTGTTTGTACCTGAAAGCTTGCAAAGAAGAATTTTTTCCAACTATTTTAGTTGGTCTAATAAACGATATCGGATTTACCCAAAGAATCTTGTCCACCTGGAATGTGGAAGATCTAGGTGTAAGCTGCTGCTCTGTGTCTTTACTAAGGGAGAATGGGGCCTTAAATGTGGATCTCCTCCGTCCCAGTTGAGAGCAGCTCAGCTGAGCCTTCATCCTTGGGCTCTAGGATTAAGCTGTTTCTGCTTCCAACCTCTCTGGCCCAATAGATATTTCATGCCTTTCAGTACTGTGCCCCAGCTTACCAGGAGGGGTGGTGAGTGATCCCACTGCAGCCTGGCCTGATGGTCATCGCCCTCTCCTGGTTTGTGGGAAGTGCACAACTATTTTGGGGTGAGTCTGTCTGCTCTTCCACAAAGTATTTTGAAGGGTCCAGAGTTCCTCCTGATATGGACTGAAAACAGAGTCTGACACCTCAAAACTTTTCACAAAACACAATTTCTGTTTTCTAGCCAGCCCTGATAGTGGCCCATTGGCTCGTTCTAAGTGAGAGTTTAGGAACATTAAGAACCACTTGGCTGGAGAATATTGTTTCCCATCTATCGTTACAGCTTGT